AGCAAGACCAGGGGGAGCAGGATGTGGGGGAGCAGGGCCAGAGGAAGGGGGGCCCAGATGGAGCAGGGCCACAGGAGCCGGGCCAGGGGGAGCAGGGCCCAGGGGAACAGGGAAAGGGAAAGCAGGAAACATGAGAAAGGGCCAGGGGAGCAATGCCAGGGGGAGAAAGGCCAGGGGATTAGGGCCAGGAGAAGCAGGGCCCATGATGAGAGGGCCAGAAGGAGAAGGGTGCCGGGAAGCAGGGCCCAGGTGGAGCAGAACCCAGGGGAGCAGGGCAGGGGAAGCAGGGCCCAGGAGAGAAGGGCCCAGGGGAGCAGGGCCAGGGGGAACAGGGCCAGGGGATTAGGGCTAGGAGGAGCAGAGCCCATGGGGAGCAGTGCTAGGGGAGTAGGGCATGGGGGTGGGGAACAGGACCAGGTGGAGCAGCGCCCAAGGAGAGCAAGACCAGGGGATCAGGGCCAGGGGGAGCAGGGCCCAGAAAAGCAGGGCCAGGAAGAACAAGTCCAAGAGGAACAGGGCCAGGGGGAATGAGGCACAGAGAAGCAGAAGTGTGTGTGTGGGGGGGGGCAGGACACAGTGGGAATTGGGCCCAAGGGGAGTAGAGCTCAGTGGAAGAAGATACAGGAGGAGTAGGCCTCAGGGAGCAGACCAAGGGGAGCAGGATGAGAAGAAGCAGGACCCGGAAGAGCAGGACCTGGGGGGAGCAGGGCCAGGAGAGAAGGGCCACGAGGAGGAGGGCCAGAGGAAGCAGGCCTACAGGGACTCCAGTCTCACTGTCTACCAATCTGTCCCTGTCGCAACATAGTAGTCTTACCATAGATTCTTTAGTTTTGCAAATTCATGCAGCTCTTTCCTGCACCTGCCTACCTTTATCTTCTGCAGGCCCCATAATCTAGAAGAAATATAAATTTTATTAAGTGTAACCTGGAAATTCTTTGAAACAGTGTTGATTTTTGTTATTGAAAATAATTTTTATTACAGTAATATATATATATATATATAAACTTCATATATATGAAATTTAACATTTTTACATGTGTACTTAAGAGGCTTTAAATACATTCATGGTGTTGCAAAAATTACTAATATCCATCTCATAATTTGGAAAAATGGAGCTCTAAACTCATTAAACACTATTTTTTTTTTATTTCCTCCTCCATGCAGCCCTTGAAAACCACCATTTTATTTTCCAACTATGAATTTGAGTGCTCTATGGACCTTGACCTTGTATACATGAATTCTACATTATTTTTCATTTTTGCCCCATTTTAAAATTTTTAATTAAACAATGTTTAAAGATAATGGTAGATTTGCATGCACTTGCAGAAACTAAACCAGGCTTATACTTTGTACACTTTAATTAGTTTTTGTACATCTTAAAAAATGAGCACAGTGTCACAATCAGGATACTTACAATGACATAAATCAGAAACAGAATATTTTTGTCTATACAAGGACCTGCCGCATCACTCTTTTATGGATTCCTTTTTTTTTTTCTTGCCTAAAACCCTATCTAAACCCTGGTGATCAGTAATCTGCTTTTTCTTCATATAATTTTGTCATTTCAAGAATTTGTATGAGTTAAATCCTGCAGTGTGTATTTTTTTGAAGTTGACTTTTGTATTCAGCATAATTCTCTGATTTGTTAATGATTTTGTCAATATTCTTGCATGGAGTATTGGTTCCTTGTTACTGTTGTGTAGTACACTTTGTGTAGATGTACTAACGTTTGCATTATCATTGCCCTGTTGAAACACATCTGTGTTGTACCTAGTTTAAGCCACTATGAATAAAACTACTATAAAAGATTCTTCCATGAAAACAAGATTTTACATCTCTGAAATAAATACTCATGAATACAATGACTAAGCTGTATATTTAGGATTTGTTGTTGTTGTTTAGAGAATTTTTCAGAGTGAATTTTCAATTTTATACTCATAGTAGCAGTATTTTAATGACCAAGTTTCTCTGCTTTCTCTCTAACATTTTGTATTGTTCCTACATTTTACTGCATTAATTCTGGTAGGTTTATGAAGATATCTAATTGAGGTTTTTTTAAAGAGAGAGTGAGAGAGAGAGAGGGAGAGAGAGAGAATTTTAATATTTATTTTTTAGTTACCGGCGGACACAACATCTTTGTTTGTATGTTGTGCTGAGGATAGAACCTGGGCCGCACGCATGCCAGGAGAGCGTGCTAATGCTTGAGCCACATCCCCAGCCCTCTAATTGAGTTTTAAATTTTAATTTTCCATAATGGCCAGTGAGGTTAGACAAAATAAGAAAAATCACACTTCATACAGGTAAAAAATATATTTATTTATTTAATAAGTCATTTAAGTTAAGGGCTGGGGTTGTATGTCAGAGGTAGAGTGCTTTCCTACCACATGTGAGGAACTGAGTTAAATCATCAGTACTGCATAAAAATAAATAAAACAAAGGTATTATGTACATTTATAACTTTAAAAAGTCATTTGAGTGAAAAGGCAGACAATATGCAGTTAAAATGAGAACTGGTATTCTGGTAGGTGTGAGAAAAATACTCAGAATAAAGCAATAGGATTAGAAATATGGAAACTATGAAAGAAAGAATAAGAGGTAAGAAGATTAATCAGTAGACATGTCAGAATAATTCCAAAAGAAATGAGAGAATTGGGGTTAGATAATGTTGAAAGAGATAATTGCTACAATGTTTTCTAAAATGATGAATATTCAGAGTCAAGAAACAGAACAAAATTCAAATAGAGTAAAAATAATTCCAAATCTATTCATACTACAGATTAACTAGAGAAATTCAAAGACAATGATGATCATTTTTGCGGAGAAGGTGGGTATCAGGATTGAACTCAGGGGCATTCATCCACCGAGATATACTCCAAGCCCCATTTTGTATTTTATTTACAGACAGGATCTCAATGCATGGCCTAGAGCCTCACTTTTGCTAAGGTTGGCTTTGAACTTGTGATCCTCCTGCCACAGTCTCCTCAACTGCTGGGATTATAGGGATTCACCTGCATTCCCAGCAAATAGATCTCTTTTTAATGTGTACATTTTAGTTATAAGTGTACACAACACCTTGATTTTAATTATTTATTTTATATTGTGCTGAGGATCAAACCCAGTGCCTAACACATGCTAGGAAAGCCCTCTTCTACTGAGTTACAACTCCAGACCCACAAAAAAGATCTTAAAATGAGCACAAAAAGAACAATTAGATAATAACAGACAGCAATATTGGAGAAGATAATGTAATAATACCTTCAAAAAGATATGGGTTGTAACTGTCAGGATAGAATTTTGTCCCAACATTCAAAAGTAGAGAGAAGGTGAAGATATTTTCATATAAGAGTGAAAATTTATATTTTTAAGAAAGTTACTAAAAAATTGAGGTTGAGAAAATATACTGAAATTGGAAGAAAATAGGGTGTTAGAAATGTTGGTCTTCATTTAATTTTTGTAGTTAGAAAAGGTTTACTAATTTAAATATATGTATATAAAAGTTAAACACAGCAAATTAAGGTAACTGTTTGATGTTCTTGTGAATGGATGCAGAGTATGATGTAGTGTCCATAGTGGGTACTGGAAGGTGAATGGACTGATTTACCTTAATATGAGGGATATCCGATAATTTTTGTATGCCAGTGGAAATTATCTGATGGAGAGTGAAGATGGGAAGATTCAAGAGAGTTTGAATACATAAGAATAGCAAAACCTTGTTGAATGGGATATGGACTAGGGACTAGGGCATTCCAAGATGAAGACCAGAGCCTGACAGCTAAGAAGTGTACAGTCTCATAACTATATGTAGTCATGCTTTGAGGCACTTAATAAAGTCAGGAACAGCATTCACTGTAACAGGTCAGAAACCAGAAAAGAGGTCTGGATGCATATTTTTGATAGATTACTTGTGAGAAATCAATGGAATTTTTTGTGGACTTGAACTTTCTCTCTGAATACAGCAAAGAGCTGTACAA